AATAATATGCCTCTGGAAACTCTATGAAGTTTGATAAATGTAGGTAGTTGTAGTGGGGCTTCAGGCCTTTTGTTCATAGGGTTGCTATGAGTCGTGAGTCAAGCACGACTCATAGTATATATATATATATATGTGTGTGTGTGTGTGTGTACATATATGTATATATATGTATGTATATATAGTTGTTATTGTTGTGTACAATTGAACTGAAACCAACCCATAGCTGACCTTCAAGTGGGTTTTCAGAAACAGTTGATTGCACATGAGGAAATTTCTCATCTTTCTTGGGTGATTTGAACTGTGTGCCTTTGGGATTGCAGCACAGCTTTTTTCCACTACTAAACTGACCATCTCAATTGAACTAATTTTGTAGAAATGATTGTAAAACTAGCATCTTACTTTGAGCAGTGACAAGAAGTTTGCCTGGGAGTGTGATACAATATCCCACACTTAAACTGTCTGGTTAAAAGGAACGGAAGTGCTTTGTACACAGCATTTGATGATGGTGTTAGTATCATGACCTTTACTGATGATTCTCAAAGATATGCATGTACTCTGACAGTTTATACATGTGTCTCGTGCAGTAGATTTTGAGTCCTGAGAGCAGTAACTATATTATTTATCTATGTATTCTCTACTGGCTTCTGAAATAATAGCACAGTTAGACACTCAATGACGCATTTACAGATAGAACTCAGTACTAAAAAAGGACAGTGTAACTTTTTTATCATCTTACAACTCTCATATTTTAAAAAGTATCCACCAACTGTATTTTATCCTCTTAGTGGACATTGATTGAATGCCTACCATAGGCTATCACAGGCTATCATTTATCATCAGAAGCACTGGCAGGAAGCTCCACTTGGATCACACTGGAGATACATCAGTTTGTTTTTTAATATCTTTCCTGGGATTTACAATTTAAGTGGCCTCAGCCAAAGGGAAAATACATTCTGTGATCACTGATCAAGGAATAATGAAAAGATAGTTTCAAATAGTAGACATTATTAGCCTAACAACTGAATTTTATATTAGTGTATTAAACTCAGACTTGTAACTTTCTCAGAGTTATAGCTTGTGACATTAATAAGTTAAATATTGAATAATGATGGTTGGAGACACTGAAAAGTAGTCAGTTGCTAAGTGCTAATAGATGTATTATGGTGAAGAAGACAAGTTTTGCATCTGCTGTTCATAGGGTTAGTAGAAGTCATTGTCAACTCAAAGGCACTTAAATAGGAATAAACAGCAGCTATATGCTGCAAACAGTTTTGTAATTTCATGCTTTGGTATAATTTAACATTTGGAAAAAACCCCCAAAACCAACCCAACTCACAAACCCAAGCCCACTGCTGTCAAGTCCGTTCTAACTCATAAAGACCCTCTCCACCAGCCTTCTAAGGCTATCAGTCCTTTTGGGAGAAGACTGCCTGTCTTTTTCCAGAGTGGTAAATTGATTTGAATTGCTTTTTTTGTTTGTTGGTTTTGGTTTTGGTATTTTGGTCAGTTTTTAGCCTGATACACCAGGTGTATCAGGCTAACATTAGGATGGGTTGAAAATCCAGCTAGTATATTGTTACTCTGATGACCTTCTTTTTATATACTTTCTGGAAAATCTGTTCATTAAGGATACTTTCTGAAAAATGCTTTCTTCTAAAAGACAGTTGGAAATTCCAACAGCTTTCCTGAAAGAAAAAACCTACAATAAAATTCTCAACCGAGTTTTAAATGAATTGAAATTAATTAGCAAGAAATTAATTAGATATGGAATATGGAATAATGAACTTTGTCATAGCAGAAAGCTAGTCATCATGATAAAGAAATTGCAGAGTAGAATTTATCAGCATTTAAATGAAATAAGATAGCAAGGATTCTTAATGTGATTTTTATTAATTAATACATCACTACAAAAACCTCTTTGGTAAAGAGTATTAAAAAACTCAATCACAAGTCAAAATAGAAACCAGTATTTTACTATTAACCAATATTTATTTAAAATTCAAGGCAATATAATAGAACATAAAAGCAAACACATTTTAAAAAATAGGTTCTCCTTGTTTTAAATCAACTTTACCAATTCTGCAAATTTAAATACCGTATAAGAAACATAGAAATTAAAATACAAATTGTAGTATAAAAATATAAAACATAGAGGGTTGTTTTTTTAGCAGAAATAGAAATGTCACTGTAAACAACATGTTAATGCCACAAAACTTTAAGCAGACGTTTAAAATGTCATATATTAAGCTAAGTATATATTTTCAGTATTATGAGGCAAAATTAGAATGTAGGTTAACAAAAATGAAAAGCTTATATAGGTAAACATTTTGAATACCACTTTTCTTATTGCTTATATAAAATATTATACATTGTTATGGAAAACATTGTATGTATTTGTTTCATGATTGTAATTGCACTGTTAATAGAGGGCAGAAGTATTTCTCGTTCTACAAAATTTTAAGTTAATAGTATATAAAAATGAACAATAAAAGAAACTGAGTAAAACAACTTTGCCATGAAAAGATGAGTATAATTAAAAAATGAATAGTGGACTAAGGCCCCCATCTCAGAAAAACTACAGCTAGGAAGAACTGGGAATTTTTATTTAAAACTAAACTAAGGAATATACTTCTATTCCCCATATTGGCTGTGTTTAAATAACATAGTCCAAGTCCTGACAGGAAGTGAACGTATAGTAAAAGTAAACTTATTACTTGGAATATCTTATTACTTGATATAATACTTATGCATTATTTTAGTTAATATAAATGAGAGTAATTGTAATAGTTATTTGTAAGAGTAAACATTCTCTTTAAATTATGGGTCACAGAGAAAGAGCATGTTTTCTTTGTATTATTTTCTTCCCAGGATAGATATTTATCTATAATGCAAATAAAAAAGATAATGGAGTAATAAGTAGTATTAGAATTTATAATTTTCACTTAATAAAGTGCCACACATATTCCACATTAAAAATTTGAAAACAAAACCTCCCACACTTGCCCTTAGAATGCTATTGTTATACGCTGTCCAGTAGGAATAGACCCAGAGCTTATCTGTAAGTAGGTTTCCAGATACAGTAAAGTGCACAGACATCTCTTATCTATCTCCCACAGAGAAACCAATAGATTCAAACTATGTATCTTCAGGTCCGCAGTGCAGCTCTGTATAACTAGGCCACTGGAGCTCCCTTGCCTTTAGAATAGCAAGTGACTATCAGCGATCTTCTTGAAGAGAACATACCTCCTTCATTGAATCAAATCAGATGAGAGCCAAAGACGTCTTAGGCAATCTTAGAGAGCAAGCCAAGCTTCTTGTTTTATAATTAAGGCATTAGATATCAAGAGAAGTTAAATGTATTAAATGAAAACTTCTGGTAAGGTCACAGAGGTCCTTAAATTGGTCAGATATCTGTGTGACTGTTGTGTTTGCCTGTTGCCCTGGTCATCTCATTTTCTGATAGTGTTGCTGTTGTTAAGTGCTGTCAAGTCATAGATGACTCATAGCAACCCTATGAACTAAAGGACCTGAGCCCTATTCATAGTTTCAGGAGGCAAGCCATTTTGGAAGTGGATACCACTCCTGCTTCCAAGCGTGTTTTAATCGGGAAGCTCCACCAAACACTGTCCGCCATGGGTAACCATCAACACATTTGGCACATCAATGTCACACACAATGTTTAGCATCACAGCAACCATGACTTACCTCTGTACAGCAATGCACAGACCAGTGCTATACCACCTAGAAGAATGTTTGACAAAAAAACCAATTTGAACCAGGCCTGAGGGCCGCAGATTAAAATCACCCACCATGGGCCTGTAGCATAAGTTTCTGTCCACTAGGCCAACCAACGTAGCTCTGTCTATGTTGTCATTGTTAATGTTGCTGGGTGCTGCCGAGTCATAGATGACTCATACGGACCCTATGAACAAAAGGCCTGAGCACTGTTCATAGTTTCTGGATAGCTTGATTATATTTTCATATGTCAACATTTCTGAATTATCCTTTATTTATTTATTATCCTTGATAATAAGTGAATTTCAAAGCAGGAATGGCATCCACTTCCTCAACAACATGCCTCTAAGAACTTTGAGAAATGACGATAGTTATAGAAAGGCTTCACTCTTTTGTCCATAGGTTCCCTGTGAGTCATGCTCGACTTGATGGGAATCAACAACAACATCACAGTAAATGAAAGACTAGACATGGAAAACATAAACCTTATGATAAATAACAATACATGTTTTATTTTGTAATAAAATAAAAATCTAAAAACTTTGCAAAATGAGGTCTTTATACATGAGCACAAACAAAATGATCCTAATATAATAAAAATATTTGTCTTCCTTTTCTTTATAAAATTCATTAACATTTATTACTCTATTTTAACATTTTACTGAAACTTCACTTTCAGCATCTAAACGGATTCAAATATGCATGCTATATTTGGGTTTTCCCAAATGTTATAATTTAAAAAAAATTTCATTTTATATTGGCTTACTTGCAGAATTCGCATACACTGTGTTTCACACTAAAAGATTAAAAGCATCATTCTTTTATAAGCTCAGATATTTCCTCAATAACAAGATATGTTGATAAGAGAAGGCAGGAGATATTACAGACGGAAACAATTCCTCCATCCAACACCTCCGTTCTAAAAATCAAATTTTCAACTACCTATTAACACAAAAACGCTTGTGACTTCTTTTCCTTTACCTCATTTTAATAGTGTTTTCATGCCTACTGTATCTTTGTTTACCTAATTAATGAGGCAAAGTTTACTTTTTCAGGATGAACTTCTGTCTATGAAGTAGACAGATATGCAATTGAAACACAAACTTTTTGTTTTCTTACAGCCATGCTTTCAGCTGCCTGCCAAAGTGAACATCCAAAGAAAATAATGTGCAAAGCAGAGAAATACAGTTACATAACTGAAGATTGACTATTAGCCCAATATAGGAAAGTGGAATTAACCAAAGTTGTTGATTTGTTGCGTTCTTCTAATGGTGTGTATTTTGTGGTGGTGAACTTTCAAAATACATGAAGTCCTGTAATTAGAAAAATAATCATGTGATCAACTGTCAACTATCTATGAAAAAAACCTCATCTGAATGCTTTTGTTTACGGCAATTTATTTACTAAAAAAAGACATAACGGGTACACAATAATTTTTAAAGAGGAAGCAAATTTTAGAAATAAAATGTCTTAATTTATAAGAAGAAATTTCTTATTTTTTAAATAAGAGGACAGGGTGGTACTGTCTTAAGGTTTTACATAAATTAACATATTTTATTAGGACATTATTTAGCCAAACTAAAATAATTTCTATAACATCTAGGTGGGAGCAACTTAGCTAGGACCAACTTGTAAAGCAGAAAAGTGGTATAGGAATGAAAAACGTTTTTATCATTGTCGTCTGTCATCGAGTTGGAACCAGACCCACAGCTGAGCACCTGGCAGGTTTTCAGAGGCAGTTAATCTCATGGGATAGATGGCCCATTTTTCTCCCATAAAAACCAATAAAATCACCGGTGAAGAGAACTTAAGAGAAAAGCAACAACCACAAACTTGGAACTAATAATAACCAGTAAAGTTTCCATTTGTTTATTTCTTTCCCCCTCCCTTTTTTTTTTGCAAACAGATTTTATTGTTTTATTAGTTTTATGAAGTTTTATGTTTATAAAGACCTTGTATTTCCATTGATTCATTGTTGCATGTATTCCTCCCTGGCGCCCCCTTTCCCCGCCCCCCCCCCAGTTTGCTTTTTCCTTTGGAAAAAAACAATTCTTTGTTATTCAGCCCTTTCCTCTCAGATGACTTTATTATGCAGCTCTTATTCTGTACTCTTGTCATACAAATAATACCTAATCATAAATTCCTTTTATACAGTTCTCTCCTTCATCTATTTCAATGCCATGTACATTATTTATCTTCTCTTTTCTTAGTTTCTCCCCAAGCCTCATGTCAGTCCTGATTTATAACAGTGGCATTATTTGGCTTTTTGTCATTTTGTGGCTGAGATATTTCACTCAGCATTATGTCCTCCATGAACACCCATTTTGTATATACCCTAAAGAAACCAGAACTGCCATCCAAGCAGATATATGCACACCATGCTTATTGCTGCTTTGTTCACAATAGCAAAGAGTTGGAAACAACCCAAGTGTCCATCAACAAACGAATGAAGCTGTGGCATCTCCACTTGTTTATGTCTAAAAAGAAGAAAACTTGATAATCATGTTTAAACTGTTTCAATTGTTATGTGTTGATTTGGTTATTATGGCAAATATTATCAATATTATTTGCTTATTACACTTTTACAAGTAGTTGTTGTTGTTGTTATGTGCCATTGAGTCGCTTGTAATTCATAGTGACCCTATGTATAATAAGAGCTCTAAACGCTGTTCTATCCTGTGCCAACCTAGCCATCTCAAACGCACTTATTCCCACCGCTCCTGTCACAGAATCGATCCATCTCATCGAAGGTCTTCCTCTCCTTCACCGGCCCCCCACTCTGAAAAACATGATGTTCCCTCTCCAAGGGCCAGTCCCTCCTTGCAACATGCCCAAAGTATGTCAGAAAAAGCTTCAGAATCCTTGACTCCAGGAAGCATTCCGACTTCACCTTCTCCAGGACAAACCTGTTTGTTCTCCTAGCAGTCCATGGTATATACAATGCTCTTCTCCAGCACCACAGCTCAAAGGCATCAATTCTCTTTCTATCAACCCTATTCACTGTCCAACTCTCTGATGCATAACAGGTAATTGTGAAGACTATAGCCTAGATCAAGCACACCTTAGTCTCCAGCCTGACATCATTGCTCTTCAGTACCCTTGAGAGGTCCCTCACAGCCGACTTTCCCAATGCAATTCATCTCTTGATTTCCTGACTGCTGTTACCAGAGTGTTGATTGTGGAACCAAGCAAACTAAAACAGTTAACTATCTCAATCTCTTCACCATCCATACTGATGCTGTCAATTGGCCCAGTGGTGAGAATCTTTGTTTTCTTGATGTTGAGCTTCAATCCGTATAGGAGGCTGCAGTACTTGACCTTCTGCAGCAAGTGCTTCAGATCCTTCTCAGTGTCAGCAAGCAGGGTTGTGTCATCTGCATAACGCAGATTGTTGATGACTCTTCCACCAATCCTGATGTCACATTCCTCTTAGTACAGCCCAGGGTCTCGGATTATCTGTTCTGCGTACAGATTCAAAAGGTATGGAGACAGAATACATCCCTGACGGACCCCCTTCTTGATTTTGAACCATGTAGTGTTTCCTTGCTCTGTTCTGACCACTGCCTCTTGGTTCAAGTACAGGTTTCGCATTAGCACAATCAAATGTTCTGG